CTGTCTGAAAGAAACAGGGTCGTCTACTATAACAGATTTCTCCCCGATCATTCTTTTGCCACGTAGTCTTCCCTCATGACGAGATTCTGGAACTCCGACCCTTTTGATGTCTAGATAATATGAGAAGAACTCAATGGCCTCCTTCGTTGACCATCCTTCAACCATGCCCCTTTCTGGCCTGAATTTGTTCCTAACATACCTCCTGAAAACTTTCATCAATCATTCAAAAGGAAACATCTGATGCAGGTATATTCGGCCAAGGGCTCTAATTTGGTCAACAAGATGAATGAGCAGATGCAATGAGATATCAAAGTAAGTCGGCGGGAAATGCATCTCAAGCCTAACGAGAGTTTCGGCTATGTCCCGCTGCAGCTGCTCTAGCGTGGACACATCAATGACCTTTTTTGAGATCGCGTTGAAGAACGAGCACAACTTTATGATTGGGGCGTGGACCATTGGGGGGAGGATACCACGCAAGGCAAAAGAGAGCAGCTGAGTCATAATGACATGACAGTCATGGGCCTTCATAGGGCCATAGTTGAACTTGAGTTCTCTCATGTTCACTAGCCTCTTCGGGTTCGCACAGTAGCCCGTCGGGACTTTGAGTTCATTGAAGAAAGAAATAAGCACACGCTTTTCTTCCTTCTTCAATGTCCATGACACAACCGAAAGTTCGAACTGGCCATTCTCTAGCTCCACGGGATGCAGATCCTTCCTGATTCCCAAGTGTTGCATGTCCAGGCGTGTGGCTAGTGAATCCGTCGATGTCCCCTCGGTGTCCATCAAGGTGTTTAGCGTGTTAGCGCACACATTTTTAGTGATGTGCATGGGATCAAGACAGTGGCGTACACTCAGAAATGGCCAGTAAGGTAGTTTCTAGAAAACCAATTTTTTCTTCCAAACGCTCCCATCAAGCGCTGCTACTGCATTGTCCCCCTTTCCAAGGACAACCTCCAGTTTGTTGAGTTCTCGAACTATCGCAGGCCCATCTCGATATTTTGGAGCTAAGCGTTTCTCAATAGTACCATTGAAATCTTTTCTGTTCCTGCGGTAAGGGTGATCCTTAGGTAAGAACCTACAGTGTCCCATATAAACTATCTTTGAGTTATTGGGCAGATTTACCGCATCGGTGTCGTCCAAGCACTCGACATATCCAGTATAGCCTTTTGTCTTCTCTTCGGACAATGAACCTTGACCTGGCAGGTCAGTGATTGTAGCGATAAGTACTCCCTTGATCGTGACATGTTCCTTTTTGTACTCGTCCCAAACATCCGGCACACTATTTTCAAACATCTCCACTAGTTCATCGATCACTGGTTCCAGAAATACATAGATGTCATTCCCAGGTTGTCTTGGCCCTTGGATCAGTAGTGGCATCTGGATGTATGACCGCTTCATACAGACCCAAGATGGAAGGTTGTATATACAGAGCGTCACTGGCCAAGTGCTATGATTGCTTCTAACCTGGTCGAAAGGATTCATCCCATCTGTGCTCAAAGCAAACCAAAGGTGTCTTACCTCTCCACCGATGTTCTTATAGAATATAGTATTGACAGTCCTCCAGTCATGCTCATCGGTGGGGTGCCTCATCATTATATCTTTCTTACGCTCTTCGATATGCCAGCGCAACAGCTTGGCTGACTTTGCACATGCAAACAACCTATGCACCTGAGGAGCTATAGAGAAATACCAAACGATCTTTATGGAACCTCCTCTGGTCTTGGTACCCTCATCTAACAGCCCTTCCTTATACCATGGACTTTCACACTTGGGGCACTTGTCCAAGTCTTTGTATTTTTCTCCATGGTACAATATGCAATCATTGGAACACGCGTGGATTTTTTCAACCTCAAGACCGATAGGGCAGACCATTTGCTTGGCCAAGTATGTCTTTTTGGCAACTTATTTTCTTCTGGGAGCATTTTCCTTATTATACCTAACAACTGATCGAAGCCTTTATCGCTCAATCCGTTTGTCGATTTGAACTCTAACAGTATGATGTCGGCTCCCAGTTTGCTCATTGGACAATTCTTATATAATGGTTTTTTGCCATCTTGTCTCATTTTCTCTAGCTTTCTCAGATGTCTTTCGCTAAGACATCCGGTCTCTACATTACGTAGCAGCTAAGAAATACCATCGTTATCCTTGGTGTCGTCAGCTAGTGTGTTCCTAAACACATTATTAACTGTGGCCATAGGTTCCGTGTTGACACCGGGTTCCTCGTGAGCATCGTGGATGGCTACATCAGGCATGTCCACATCATCATCGTTTTCCTATGGAACATTCACACCAACCTCGACATGCATAGTTCATATCGTATAGTTTGGCATGAACCCCCTGGTAATCAAGTGCGATCTTATAGACTCAATTTGACAAAAGTTCCTTTGATTCTTGCAATCTTTGCATGGGCAGAAGACAGGGTTCCCATTCCCAGCATGGGATTTGGCATCGGTGATAAATTGGCTGACGCCATGCATGTACTGCTTGTCCGTTTGGTACAGATGCATCCACTCTCGATTCATCTCTGCACAAAAAAATATTGAGACAGTAATTACAAAGAATTAATAAGAAATCGAGCTTCATGAACAACAATTGTAACTCAAAAGTATCATTTTTGGAAAACATTATTGTACACTAATTATTGGAAAATTGAAACTGGTAGTCCTGGCCCTGTAAGTTGAAAATCGTAGTAAAAAAATAATTATTGCATAATAATAAAGAACAACTATTCTACTCCATGCCACAAAAAATGGAGACACTTATTTTAAAAAAAGACTAAAATTGGAGACATGATCATAAATAACAATGTAGCTCCAAACAATGCCCATATACATTGAAAAACGCAGCCCCATAAAAAAATTATTGCACAATAATGAAGAACAATTATTCTACTCTATGCCACATAAAAATTGAGACACTAATTTAAAAAAAACTAAAATTAGAGACATGATCATGAACAACAATGTAGCTCCAAACAATGCGTTGTTATGTGACACGTAGATTAATTTTCTCAACAAATTGTAAAAGAATCTACTCTACTTCTAAGAACTAATTATAGCATCACATACTAACAATGATGATCTTGACCAAAATGAAATAATTAGCTAAGAATTTAAATGTGTTCATAGACACCAACCTTTTAGATGATGGATTCACCACAATTTGAGCCTTGCATAAATGTCTAATTGGAAAAGTGCTCTCTAGAATGGAGAAAGAACTAGAATGAGAATCAAGCAATGTAGCCATCAAAACTAAGCTAATTAAGCAACAAAATCAAAGGAGTGGATGTTTGTTACTAACCTTAAAGCAAAAAGATCAAGCCATTCTTCAAAATCCAAGCGCTAGCTTCATGGTGAAGAGCAGCCGCAACAATGAAGGGAAGGGCCCAAACGAGCGCCTCTGTTCTCGGGATGGAAAAGAGGAGGAAGGAGAGGACGGCTGCAGCCTTTTTGTGCTGTAGGCTTATCATCGTCGGTTCTTGGCTTGAACCGGCAGTGATATATGGCCGTCAAGCCACTGCCGGTTAGAGACACAAACCGGCAGTGATAGTTATCATCACTGCCAGTTCGGTCACATCCCAAATCAATTTATGGTTTTCAGAGCCAAGAACCAGCAGTGAAGGGTCAACACTGTCGGTTCTACTAATTCCGGCAGTAATGAGGCCGACAGTGAAGTGCTATTCTGCAGTAGTGATCATCGATTAAGGGCATGTTTGGATGGGCACCGACTGACTCTTGCTCTGGCACTATAGCGCCACTATGGTGGTGCCCCAAAACCATAGCACTGGCGGCTCCTCCCAGTTTCGCGTTATTTTGTGAAAGAGCCAGAGCCATTTTTTTGGTTTGCTATGTATAGGCCGCACAGTACCTGCATGCGGGAGCCGGAGCCAAAACAAACGCGCCCTAAGCTAATCGTCACTCCACGATTTGTCAGCCCTGCTTCTCCACTTCACTCCAGGCATCAGCCCATGGTAAGGTGGTAAAAACTAATACCTAACTATATACTGTATCCTCAAATCTGTCTACGAAAAGAAGTTTGAGTCGGATCGCCTTCATCGATCTAGAAAACAACAAAATCTCAAGTCTCTACCAAAAATCAAATGTACCAGGCAGGGTCCGGGGGAGCGAGGGCGGCAGCGGTCGGGGAGCGCGAGGGCCCGATGCGGTGTCTCAACGATGAGTACAAGTGCACGTGTGGGCATTATTGCACAGGATTTAAGCATGGTTTTAAATCTCTGACTAAAGGTATTTAGCGGATGACCTTTAAAACAGCTATAGCAGGCTATAGCCGCTTAGTTTTACATAAACATAAATAACTTGATCAGCCTCAAACAATTATAGTTGGCTATAGCGATAGCCGGAGAATTAAAACCTTAGATTTAAGGCCTATCAGTGTCTCAGTTGGGGTTTCATGACTCTTTTCAGACTCTCTGGTGTTGGAAACGGTATAAACAAGTTTCATCCACATGAAACCATTTTATCCTCTGAAATTTTTATTATCTCTCTTCGTTTATATTATGTCATATTAATTTATTGGCCCCGTTCGCTTCGCTGAAAAAACAAGCCAAAATACTGTTCTGGCTGATTTGTTGTGTTCTGGCTAAAAAATAAGCTAAAAAGTACGGATTATAAGAGAAGCGAATAGGACCATTCAATGGTCATAAGACTCTCATGAAACTCTTATTGAGACGGGTATAATCATTGATGTCCTAGTTATAGCTAGTTAGTGCTTCATCACGTCTCGAATGTCCACCGGGTGGCCTGAGGATGGACGTGGCCCAGGGTCCCTCCGCGTTCGCCGCGGGCTCGATGCACTCCCACGTAGCACTGTTGCACTTGAACCCGGACCCAAACCCAATCATCCACACTTGGTCGCCCCTCCGCATACGCCCCTTGGCGTCGATGTAGGCTAGCTCGTACCACAGTGAGCTGCTTGACGTGTTGCTGAACCGGTGCAATGTCATCCTCGACGCCTCTACCTGCTCGTCGGACAGGCTGAGACTACGCTGCAGCTCGTCGATGACGGCACGCCCTCCCGCATGGATGCAGAAGTGCTCGAAGGCCTTGTGGAAGTCGGGGATGTACGGCTTGAACTTGCCGCTGAGCACCTTCCACGCGATGAAGGAGAGGGCGAATCGGAGCTGCTCCGTGGCCGAGGGGACCGATGGCTGTGATGTTGGCCTTAAGCGCATTCCCAGCGATGGTCATGAGGTCCTTGTTCAGGTTGATGCCAACGATGCCGTTGTCGTCCTCTTGCTGGAACACGCACATGTTCGCACTGTCCTGCGCGGCGGCGGTTAGCGTGCACACGACGTGCTTTAGGCGGAACCTTGCCTTGGCAGGGGAGTTCGACAGCAATGCCGCGGCGCCGCCTATGCGGAACAAGCAGTTGGGCAGGATCATAGCGCGCTCGCTACCATAGTAGTTGGGCGTGATGGTCTCGGTGGAGACAACCAGCGCGTGCGCGCCTTTCAGAGCGACCTGAAGGAGGTTCCTGGCAAGCCCCACGGAGATGAGCCCAGCGCTGCACCCCATGCCGGAGAGGTGCACGCTGCGGACATCGCTGCGCATCTTGTACCAGTTTATGATCATGTCCACGAAGGACGGTGTGGGGCAGAAGAGGCTGCAGTTGACGACGACGATGTCGATGGCGCCAGGGCTGATGCCCGTCTTGGCGAACAGGTCGTTGAGCGCCGAGAAGACGACGAGGTTGACCTCGCCACGTGCGGCGTCGAGGGTGCAGTACTTGTAGGTGGGAATGTAGCGGTGCACGGGAGGTAGGCACATCTCCTCCTCGAGCCCCGAGCGCTCGAGCAGCTTGGTCATAAACCAGATGCTGCGCTCGTTGAACGCGGGCCCTGCTTGTTGTGCTCCAGGAAGGTGGAGAAGGGGACGCGGCAGTTGGACACGGCCGCCTTTGTGAAAATGGTTGGAACGTGATACCCTCTCAGGCTCACGGCTTCGTGTTAATATAGCCAGGAAGAGCCCCTGGCGTGGTGGTACAACTTGTACAATAAGAAGAAGCTAACTACTTTGATAACTCTAGATTACATCACAAGATTACATCAATCAGAAGATACCTATCCTATCTAACCGAAGCCGTGATACTTGCCTTCACCCGCAATCCAAGCCTGAGCGCACGATCAATCTTCAGGAGATATCAATCAACCAGATATTGCGGCAATGTGATCGTAGGATATTCTTAACCGCCTTCAAGCCTTTACCGAACAAAGGTGGCGAGCTCGTCGTCGTCGTCTTCTCCTTCTGCGGCTGCGTAGGGTACGGCAAGGTACTTGTGTCCGTCGTGTAACTCACGTCCATGGTTTTAAATAGCGGGTTATAGCGGTGCGTCAAGCTCCATCAATTACGATGGTGTGTTGCACTGCACGAGATAAAGCAGGCGACGATGACAAAAAGCTCCGGGCCTGTTCGGCATGACTGAAAAATATTGTTCCGGTTGATTGTTATGAGAGAAAAATACTGTTCTGGCAGGACGTGAACAGTGATCGGTTGTGGTCGTCTGTTCAGATGAGATGAAATAAACTGCCGTACGTCGCGGCACCAGCTTGCCAGACGTTTTCCTCTGAAATAATAAAGGAGATGGTCACATCACAGGTTGGGGAGGTTTAGGGCCTCTTTGGCATGGCTTATGTCGGCTTCGGGTTTATCTATTTTACGTAAATTGAGGCACTGTAGCGTGAAGCCGTTTTGTAAGCCGGGGTTAAAATGAATTAGAAGCCGGGAAAAACCAGTTTTTCTGGCTTCACCGGTTTTGGCTTCACCGGTGAAGCCGTTTTAGATGAGCCGTGCTAAAAGGGGCTTTAATTAGATGGTTTAGACGACTGTAGTGAGTCAAGTGTGTGGTTGTCGAGTTTGGTTCATAAATTATCCGTCTAACGAATATGGAACTCCAGTTATTATTCAACTAAATTATCTCTCTAACTGACACCGAAGTTCAGTCATCATTCACTTTTGATGACTGCTAGCTGCTAATCACATTGATAAAGCGCACTGCAGTCGGCACTTGCCAAGTGTGCACTTGCCAAAGTGTGCACTAGCTGAATCAAGTTTGATGTGCATAACTAGTGAACATAGCCTCTATGCCATAATTATGTAGGACACAATTCGTTTATTCCTTCTTTACTACATCTACCTCTAGCTAGCTTTTATTATTTTCAATTATTCTGGTTAGAGCATACAACCGATTCGGAGCCTGTTTAGTTTCCAAAATTTTGCAAAATTTTTCAAGATTTCCCGTCACATCGAATCTTTGGACGCATGCATGAAGCATTAAATATAAATAAAAAATAAAACTAATTACACAGTTTAAACGAAATTCACGAGACGAATCTTTTAAGCCTAATTAGACTATAATTGGACACTAATTGCCAAATAACAACGAAAGTGTTACAGTACCATTTTCCAAGAAATTTCGCCAACTAAACCACCCCTCAGCTCAGCTGCTCAGGTCGCTATACTCACGGATCGGCATCACACCACGTCCAAGTATACTGTTGAGCCCATAATGAACTAAGCGTAACTCCACCAAATCCTCTTTCCACTTTCCCTTAAAACCATGTATAGGGCATTAAGAAAACTAAATTATACAATATATAGGTGACATGTGCTCTAGAAGATTGAAAAAAAATCATATCCCTTTTATAAATGGAACACACATGTCAGTCAAACAAACTGGTACTACTGCCTCGGTTAATCAATTAAATTTTTTTTAAAGAGATGAGCCCAGACGTGAGCCCATCCAGGGCCTGGTGTCGAGCCCGTCCAGGGCCGCCGCGCTCCGAGCCCGCCGCCGTCGCGTCCGCTCCACCACCACCGCACATCCCGCCGCCGCCTTTTGGCCGCCGTGGTGGAGCCCGCCGCCGCCAAATCCGTCGGGGCCGGATCCTCCCGCGCCAAGGCTAGATCCGCCGGTGCCGGGGCGGGATCCGCGGTGGTAGAGCCCACCACCGCCAGATCTGCAAGCGCCAGGGCCGGTTCCGCCGAGGTGGAGCCCGTCGCTGCTAGATCCACCGGCGCCGGGGATGGATCCGGCCTCTCCGTGCGCCATCGTTTGAGCTCTGTGGGGAGATGAAGAGGAGAGGGCACCTTGTGCCAGCTGTGGGGGAGAGGGAAGAGCCGCCGCAGGGGTGGGCGTCGGGTGGGTGCTGCCATGGGGGAGAAGGAGAGGTGAGGGAGAGGGAGAGGTGAGGAAGGCGCTGAGGGAGAGAGAGTGCGGGGGAGAAGGAGGGGCGCGGGGTAGGGAGAGGGCGCGGACGGAGTCGGAGGGAGTTGGCTGAGGGAGAGAAAGAAAGTGAGCAAAGGAAAACCCTAACATCATCTATTTATATCGAAGATGGCTATCGGGCCTCTCCTGGTCTGTTGGGCCTCAGCTTTTTTTTTTTGAGGCGGGCCTTATAGTCTGTCCGTCTTCGAAAATAGATTTATGGAAGCGGGCACCTTAAGATGACCGCCTCCGTAAATAGGCCAATTTTTGAGGTAGTTGTCTTAAGGCGTCCGCCTCCGTAAATCGATTTTAGGAGGCGGTTGGATTTTGACTGCCTCTGTTAATCGATTTTAGGAGGCGGGCAAATGTGACCGCCTCAGTAAATAAATGTGACCACCTCCATTAATAGCTCAGCATTTTAGGAAACGGTTGGATTTTGTGTCCGTCTCCGCTGATGTTTGGGCACTGTCACCTAAAATCATTTCTGTAGTAGCGTGGAGCATACATCTAATCCCACAGTGTAAGCCTCGAATCACTGACAACTCATGGGATTTTGCATTCGACGAATACACTGGAGCATTGGGTTAATCGACGAATACACTGGAGCTGCCCAAGCACGTCTAATGTTCAGTGTTGGTAAAAAATAAAAATGGAACCGTGAGTACTCCAAAGTCCAAACCGAACTTAGCACACCAGAACATCCGACTGCTGGTTGTCACTTGTCAGATGCATAAATCAACCTCAGGCATTAGGGACTACTCATTCTGGAGACCGGACCTAGGCCCTGTTTGGAACAGACTATAATCGGATTTTTGGACGCCCCACCGCGAAAATCTTGAAAATCCTACCGCGTCACGGTGGCCGTGATTCTCATGACCACCCGTGCGGGGAAGAATCGGAAAATGAACTACACCGATTACTCCCATCGCGGCCTCGGAGCCACGTATGGATACCGCACGGTGCGGTCACATATCAGGGTTCTAAACAGGGCCTCAGTGGAAAAATGAATAGATAACTTTTGTGTTTCTAGAGGAGCTCCAACAATGATTTATGAGCTAGTTCAAAGCATATTATTTAATATTTTAATATGAGAGAAAAATTATCTCTTGATCAAAGCTGTTTGGTCAGTGCCATAGTTTGCTAAGTCTAATCTTCGGCAAACTATGGTTGCCATAGAAAATGTGGCTAGTAAACTCGAAACCACACTTATGGCAAAGTTTTGCATGAAAATGAGTATATGACATGTGGGACTAGGTGCTAAGAAAATATGGTGCACCATAGTTATGGCAGTAAACTAGACAACTGCTGAAAAAACTATGGAAAGACTAACATTTTGTGTGGCAAGTTTTGGTTACGAACCAAGTAGACCCTAGTCTCAGACACGTAATCCAAGATTATATGAGAGTGTCATACGGAGTTATTAATGTTTTGAGCTATGTGCTAAAAGATAATATCATTAAAAAACAGAACTGATAGGATTAAGCCGTCCGGACGGCTTTAATCTCCAGACCAACATGGCGGCCTAGCAGCCTCACATCCCTCTACCCACGGAACATACAGTACCAGCTTCTCTCATAAATATCCCTATTACTCGTCCGCTTTCCTTTCTCATTCACCCGACATAGCTCGCTCTGACTTCCTGCTCATCGCCCGGCGATGGCCACCCTCTCCACCGCGCCCTACCGCAAGCGCCAGCCTTCCTCGTCCACTAGATCCCAATATGCCTGCTCCCCCCCTCTCACGCTCTCTTCTCTCCTCATGCCACTCTCTCTCCCTCTCTGGTTGCTGCTCGGACGTGTGGACAAAGCCAGTCGAGATGGAGCTCTCCTGTCGTTGTTGCTGCCTTTCCTTATGGCCCTCTCGTGCCCCACTCCTAGCTTCACGAATGCCGCCTAATGCTCATAGTTCCCCCTGTGCATGCTCGCCGAGCAAATCTCCTGCCGTCCCCTTTTTCCTGCTCGTCGCGGCCATAGGACAGTAACCGTGGTGAGCCGTCCCTGGTGGCCCTCCATCCAGCCAACCACGCTACCTCCACGTCCGCCTCGCCTCGCCTCCCTCCATCTCCTGCACGCATTCGCCAGGGTGGATATCTACCGGCACATCGCCGCCGCTAGTGCTGCCTCCGGCATGCTGTTGGTATGAATGGCCGGCCCTACACCGAGCCTCCATTCGTCCAAGCACCGGCCAGGTAGATATTGTGCTTGAAAGCGAATGTTGCAAGAGTATGTTTTGAGTGTTTTAGATAAATGTTGCAAGTGTTTCATATGGATGTTGTAAAAGTAGATCGGGTGTTTCATATGTTGCAATGGTTGTACACGTATGTTGCAAGCGTCTGTTCCAAATGTTGCATCTGTTTTTCAAACGTATGTTACAACCGTGTTTATCTGGAAGTTGCATATGTTTCACACATACGTTTGCAAGTGTTTTATCTGGATGCTGCATATATTTTATAATGGCTTTTCAAGTGTTTTTGTAAGTGTTTCAGACGCGTGTTTGAAGTGTTTTAAACACATGTTTCAAGTATTTCATCTGTTTTCACACGTATGTTGCAAATATTTCATATGGATGTTTCAAAAATAGATTGGGTGTTGCTATTGAAAACCCACCTGCCGTAGCAGGTGTCCGAGCGGGGAAGTAGATGGGGCGCGAGTGGTCTTCGTGTGGGGTCAGGAGGCGCGCGCGACATTCGGCCAGCGTGGGCCCCTACGTGAGGGCGCGTGAAACGGAGTGCAGGCGCGGGTGTCCGGACACGCGCGTCCGTCCGGATGTCCGAGCGCTAGCACTGCCGTAAAAAAATTATCTTAGAGCTAATAACTAGTTCATACTATTGAGGGTGCCCTTCTTTGGGTGCAGGGTTGCAAGCTCCACCATATCAAACTCACCACTAGAGAACTAGCGGTTTTGCTGGCCAAAATCGATTGGACACTAGAGTAAGAATTCGCCCTCCCACGCGAAAGCCAAAAAAATTGACGACGTCCTAGAGTCTCAGGAAAAAAAAATCAGCATAGTTGGAAGCTCCGGCACCAAGTTAGCCAAAATAACAAGCCTAAAGTCTATCTAGCCAGCAGCAAAATTGTGCTCCACGTCAATAAAATCTATGCTGGAGGGGCAAATAGGAGAGAGATTACCAAGTGGGCTGCTGGTGAAACACACGACTAAAACGCATGAAATGAGAGAGAAAAAACGCCTGAGCCGGTATTTTTGTGCGCCTTCTTCCTCTCTCCCGATCCTTGAGCCGCTAGTGCTATTCCACGCGCCTTGCCTCCCCACACACCCCGCTGAACCGTCCAACAAATCGACTTATCATGCCCAGAATTGACCCCTGCACGCCAAATTGAAGGATATGCCCAAATCGACTCCAAAACACCATCTCGTGAACCCTAGACACCAATCCAACCCTTTACGGGATGAAGCAATAGATGGAGCAACACTAACAGTCATATGCTTTAGCGGCAAAGCACATGGCAGGAGTATGCTTATACCGGCGGTAAGTTTATGCTTGTGTGGCAGCAGGTTATGGGTGACCGGGGCATACTATGCAGGATAGAGACAATTTCCATCAGCATTTTTCTATCCTGTCTAATGTTCATGGTTTGTGTTAGAGGCCGTTATTTTTTTAGGTAAATTTTGTTGTGGGACATCAATGAAGTATGGTATTGACCAGTGTCAAAATTTGCCGATTACCATTATAAAATCATAGTTATTTACCGTAGGACACCCACTATTATTTTATTTATTTCTCAGTTTTGGAGAGAGAAGATATGAGTGTCTTTTTTCCTCTTGTCTTCAACCTCTAGCGTTGTCATTGTCACATGGTGGTCGGTGCTGGAGGTATTGATTTAGTTGTTTGCATAGGCTGATGTATTGTCATTGTCACCAATAGGATCCACATTTTTCTTGTTTATTGTGGCATTGGGCATCTTTAATTTTGTTGCATATCATATATAAAACATGCAGGTATAGCAGGCATCTTTAATTTTGTTGCATATCATATATAAAACATGCAGGTATAGCAGGCATCTTTAATTTTGTTGCATATCATATATAAAACATGCAGGTATAGCATGTACGTGAGTTTGTCAATACCCTTGTGCAACATTTACCATTAGATGTAGAAAGAGAAAATTCCCCCTTCCTTTGTCATTTTTTTCACAATGTTTCTTATTTCTTTCATTCCTTTCTTCCATTGATAGACTAGTATTGTCGGCTCTGTCTCGTTGCCTACTACGTTCCTTAGCATCGATGACATGTGACTATATGAGTTGAATGCATTTTGACCACCTACATTAAGATTAGTAGACATGTCACTGGGTACATTTGAAATGATCCATATACATCATCTGTATATTGCATATTAATAAGTTACCTTCATTTGTAGTGTTTGTTAGTTCTCCAAATGGAGTGCAAGCACAATGACTTTTCACTTTATCCATGAACACTACTCCTCTACCACCATGTAACCTGATAGCACAACATGTTATTTGTGAGTTTTTATTGATAACACAACGTGGCATCCGGCCATGATTCCGTTCTATTTCACTGAATGGATTGGGAATTGTGATGCAGACATTTCTTTTTTAAGTTTGGATATACACGTTTTGATAATTCTTCCATTCAGTGCAGATATATGTATCGATGCAAAACATGACTTAGTAGTTCAGTTATAGCCCAACAGACTTGGGCCGAATACAGGATAAAGGATTTTTGGCAGTATTATGTCAATCTGAGCAATATCATCCTATGAAACTTTATGTATTAGTGAGTGAAATTATAAGGCACAGAAGGTACTTGCTAATGATAGAATCTAGCTAGCCACAAAAACTAAAAGAAGCAATGTCAATACAAAAGTGCAGAGAGAAATCTATTCACTGAAAATGGTAGTGGCTAGCATATAATAAGGTTGCGCAACAATGCTGGAAATAACATTGGCATGTGCATCTATCAGAATTGGTAATTCAAGATCTAGCCTTGAACCTGACATGCCTAGTACATGAGAAATGGATTAGCATGATTTTCTATTTTCTGGCCTGTTTATTATTGATTTGGATTGGAATCGTCAGACTTAACACACAATGTGCTAACAAGATCAATGGGCCAAGGTGTGTTGGTTGGAGGGGCTAGAAGCGTAGAACTAGAAGGATGAGTTTAGTTCATGGCACAATCTCGCCCATCCTCCCAACCTTGTATAGCATCCCTACGAGCTGCATCACATAATGGTATGTGCCATGTTTAGGTGACTACCCTTATGAACTTGCAGGTAGCAGTTCAGGGAAAAGGGCGATAGCGACGAGACCAAACCCGCTGAATTTTCAACCACTCTGAATTTGCAAAATATACGTAGAAGAATTGAAAGAGTACTTTATCATCTATATGTACTTTATTAATGGGTTTTTTTTTTGCGAAGGGAACGGGGACTATATTAAAACTCGGCACTGTACATCCCCAAATTACACATGAAAAAATTTGAAATAAAAATATATAATTTGTATTTAAATTCTTCCATTATCTTCTTTCTCGATGGCTTTCTTCGAACACTGAAGCTAAAGTATAGTCCTTATGCCGAATATATATATATCTTCCTCGATATCTAAAGATATGATTTGGTGTGGCCACGGCGCGGCCTCAGGCCACGTCGCCGGCTTTTCGCGGCCGTTCGATCGGCCGCGCGGACGGACCAGATCGGGCGAGCCGCGGTCGTTTTACAAAAAACCCCTTTAAGTTTTCGGAAATCAACCCGCGCTCCAGACGTCCTCTCAGAAATTTTTACAAAAAACGCCTCGTATTATTTTCAAATCAACGCTCAGTCCAGACCGGATGACTGGTTTGTTTGCAAAAAAAGACCTCCACTTTATCGAAAATCAACTCGCGCTCCCCAGACACTCTCACCGTTTTTTGCGAAAACATCCTCAGATTTTTCTCAAATCAAAATACAGCCCAACTTTGATTATATCTTTTTTTTTCAAAAAATACGTGTGGCCAGTGGACCGCGCGCATGGACGCGCCCGAAAAACTAGTGGATATATGATTAATCGATCTGGCGCGCCGTTTGGAGAGGGTCCCTTTGCACTGCACGCGGCTTGAAGATCCCGTGTTGGGCTCGACGGATCAGCGACCGGTTCATATCGTCGAAAGCTACCTGCATTTCCATTCATGGGATCCCATCGGCCCTCGCGCGGGGCGGCTCCAAAGTCCAAACCTATGTCTTCCCTTCGCCCATTCTACGCATTCATTCAACCACGATTGCACGAGTAGCCTTTGCAAAGGCGCAGCTTGTTGGCTTGTCCCTTCGTGCGCAGGCATGTACCATTGCTAGCCTCTTTAAAAAGCAGACCTACGTGTAGGAGTATATGCCATGTTCGCTTGTCTGATAAATCATGACTGAAAGTACTGTTGACTGATTTATTGTGAGAGAAAAATATTGTAATTGGATGGATGGCTTCTACAGTTGCATTTCTAAACGAGCACGAATCTCACAGTAACAGTGATCTCTTCCACAAAAACCAGTATCGTCAACTATAAAATGGATTCTTCAGACTCGCTGTGCCGGCGAACTAAATAATGTGCGGCGACGGCGAGCAAGCAGAACACGGGAGATGAAAATATAAATCTATTTCATTTCCATTTCTTCTTGTTTTTTTTTGGAGAGAGAATCCATTTCTTCTTCTTATTATCCACCACACGAATAGTGAATCACTGTAGAGCTATTCTGCAGCAATTCCATGAGACCAATACGGAAACCGTGCGTGACACGAGGGCGGTATCACTAGATCTTTTCAGGAACCGAGCCGCGCCTGAGCGACTCGGCGATGCCCGTGGCGAGGCAGTAGGCCACGGACTGGATGGTGACCATGGGGTTGACGCCCACGGCGCTGGGCAGGACGCTGCCGTCGCACACGTACAGGTTCTCGGCCTCCCAGCTCTCGCCGCGCGCGTCCACGGCGCCGTTCCGGGCCGTGGCGCCCATCCGGCAGCTGCCCATCTGGTGCGCCGTGCAGCACAGGCTCCACGCCTCGGCGTTGGACTGGGGCCCGCGCACCACGTCCACGCCGTCCAGGAACTCCTCCAGCGTGGCCTCCGTGGCGCCCCTGCACGCGAACCGCTGCCCGTCGCTGCGGTGGGTGCCGATCTCCGCCGCGCCCGCAGCGGCCAGGACGCGCAGCCCGCGGCGCAGGCCCTCGCGCATGTTCTCCCGGTCCGTGGCGTCCAGGTGGTACACCACCCGACGCTCGCCGTACACCGTGCCCGAACCGAGGTCCCTCACCATGGAGAAGAGGTGCACCGTGCGGCCGTACCTGAGCATCCGCTCCTTCATGTCGCTCCCGGACACCCAGGGGAACTGCGTCCCCGCGCCGGCCAGGCCCATCGCTGGCGTCTCGAGGATGGCGCCGGCCGGCGCGCCCGGAACGCCTTCCACCTTGTGGAGGGACGTGATGATGCCGCCATCATACATCTTGTCCTTGAGGTCCGGCATGGTGTCCGGGAAGTAGCCCCACACCAGGGCCGTCGGGTGGAGGTGGAGGTTCTTGCCGATGTGCCGGTTGCTGAGCCCGCTCCTGCGCAGCAGAACCGGCGTCAGGAGCGACCCGCACGCCGAGACGGCCGCCCTGGCGCGCACCTCCAGCGTCCTCGTGATCGCCGGGTTGGTGCTCCTCGCCACCACGCCGACGCATCGCTTCGTCCTTCCGCCCGCGCCGCCAGTGCCGGTACGCTCCAGCAGCAGCTTCTCGGCCTTGCACCCCGTCAGGATCACCGCGCCACGGCTCACCGCGTCGACCAACCATGTACTGTCCGTGCCGCGCTTGTCGCCGGTGCGGCAGCCGTAACCACAGCTGCCGCAGTAGTGCCCCTCCGACGAGTTCCTCGACACCGACTCCACCTTGTACCCGAGATTCTCGCACCCCTTGTGGAGGACCTTGTTCTGGAGCCCCTCCTCCGCGCACCCGGCCGTCACGCCGAGCCGCTCGAACACCTTGTCCATGGCGGCGGCGTACTCGTCGGTGGCGAACAACGGGAGCCCCTGCTCGCGCGCCCACTCCCCGCGAACGTCGTCGGGGGTCTTGATGCAGGCTGACCAGTTCACGGCCGTGCCGCCGCCGACCGTCGAGCCTGCCAGGAGTAGCACGGTGTCGCTGAGCGTGCTGACGAACCCTCCGCCCTCGTAGAGCTGCTCCATCGACGGCGCCTCGACGGCCGTGTAATCCCGCGCCGTGAAGTAGTTTCCCTTCTCGATGAGCACCGCTGCCGCCACGCCCCCGCCGCAGCCGGAACCGACGATGACAACGTCGCACTCGACGCTAGACACGTTCCGCGCCGCGTCATCGGCCACCGTGAGGCCCTTCTCGGCTAGCAACGCGGGCAGGGACGCGTCGTTCTCCTTGGTCGTCTCCACGATGCCGTCGTCGAGGGGACGCTTCTCGTGACGCTCTGGTTCCGCCGGGGCCGGTTCGTCGTCGGCCAGGGACGGGCTGTACCCGATCGCGCGCCAGTGCGGATTCTTTGAGTTCTCATCGGTCTGCATGGCAAGGACACACACACGACATGGAATGTAAGGATTCAAACAAAAACAACATGGAGCATGAACCTATGCGTGATGCGTCCTTGTCAGGGTTCGTTGATCAGCTGATATCATCATTGCTCTTACAATATCAGCTGATATCATCATTGCTCTTACAATTCTTGCTTGCGTTCACTAAAAGCGATCTTCAGACAAAGTTATAGCTTGTTCCTTTCCAAGTTGTCATTATCAAGATGATTCTTGTCATTATCAAGATTTCCAGGGTAAAAGTGTTAAATTTCTTAGGACTCAATCGAGTCAAGTTCATCAGATCGGGTACACAATAAGAATACATGTTCAAGATTTACAGTATATACACAAAACCTAATGCATGAACTACAGACATATAAAAGGAAGAAAAGAGGTAGGTGGAGTAGGAAGTCGTAGACCATCGAAGGCCGTAGTGGTCGAAGCAGTCGGAGTGGTGGAAGCGCCGGCCGCGGCCTTGTTCGCGGATGCCATCTGCATGCCGGCAGCGACGTTCGGTGGAGAGAGGAGTCGGTGCAGTGGCGTCCTTGATGGCGACGTGTGCGTCGGGGTGGTGTTGCCGGCGTCGGTGGTGCTTCCCGTCGCTGGCAGCGCCCCTTCTCAAGATCGGGTTAGGGTTAGGATGTCGGTGGGGAGTCTGGCGGCGCGGTGAACCTCGTACTGCGAGCCCCAGCCTCCACCTTTCCTTTATAGCGCTGTGCGACGGGGGCCCACCAACCATGTAGGGTTGGGCGCTCCCGATCAGGGCGCGAGAACAAGGCCCAAAGGACGTTGGGCCTAATGGCGTGGGAGATCAATCCAACATTCTCCCCCTTGATCTCTCATCACTTTCTTCGTTCTTTAATTCTTACTCAAACTTTCGATTCATATTTTTCTTGCTTTCATCCTATTTCATCACAGATTAGTGCATAGAATTGTCCCATCGTCACAGCAATTAATGCCGTTACACTAACAGCCACAATACACTTCTCCGTTTTGAAATGTAAACTTTCTTTGAGCCCTTCGTATGTTTGGGAATCATAGGCTTTCCCTTAAACCCATGCCGGCTACGTGTTCTCTGAATACGTTGGGTGGTAAGCCCTTTGTGAGCGGATCCGCGAGCATTTTCTCTGTACTTATATGCTCAAGATTTATTATATGATCCCGAACTTTATCTTTCACAACATAGTACTTTATGTCAATATGTTTGGCAGCACCACTTGACCTATTGTTGTGAGCATACTGTTCCGCTGGGTTGTTATCACAATACAACCTCAGTGGTTCATTTATATTATCAATCACTTTCAATCCGGGTATGAATTTCTTTAGTCAATTCACCTGCCCCGTTGCCTCATAGCATGCTACAAACTCGGCATACATTGTCGAGGATGTAGTTACGGTTTGTTTGGAGCTTTTCCACGATATAGCCCCTCCTGCGAGAGTAAATACATATCCTGACGTGGATTTTCTTTCTTCTCCATACAAATAAGCATGAGGCCTCTACCTGCAAGGAATCTGAATACCCCTCTACCTGCAGGGAATCAGATCTTCTATACGTAAGCATGAGGCCTTTCGTACCCTGCAAATAACGCAGGACTTTCTTCACTAATTTCCAATGTTCAATTCCTGGATTCTTTTGACATCTGCCAAGTAACCCGATAACAAAAGCTAAGTCAGGACGTGTACACACTTGAGCATATTGTAAACTTTCAACAGCTGAAGCATATGGTACCGCTTTCATTTGGTCAATTTCATATTGGTTCTTGGGACACTGATGTTCCCCAAATCCATCGCCCTTGACTATAGGAGTAGGTGAAGGACTGCACGCATGCATACTAAAATTCTTCATGACCTTTTCTATGTATGCCTTTTGCGATAATCCTAGAACCCCCTTTCTTCTGTCTCGGTGAATCTCTATTCCCAAAATGAACGAGGCATCACCGAGATCTTTCATATCAAAGTTTGAGGACAAGAATTTCTTCATTTATATTAGTAGATTGATATCACTACTAGCAAGTAAGATATCATCCACATACAAAATTAGGAATATGTACTTTCCATTCTTGAACTTTGCATAAACGCAATTGTCCTCAACATTTTCTTTAAACCCAAAACCTTTTATCGTTCTATCAAACTTCAAATACCACTGTCTTGAAGCTTGCTTCAATCCGTAGATTGATTTCTTTAGATGGCATCCCATATTTTCCTTTCCTTTTATGACAAAACCTTTCGGTTGTGTCATATAAACATTTTCTTCCAAATCCCCATTTACGAAAGCCGTCTTTACATCCATTTGATGTAACTCTAAATCATAGTGGGCTACAAGTGCCATTATAATTCTGAAGAAATCTTTACATGAGACTGGAGAAAACGTCTCATTGTAATCAATCCCTTCTCTTTGCGTGAAGCCTTTCGCCACAAGTCGCGCTTTAAATCTTTCTATATTCCCTTGGGAGTCATATTTCGTTTTGTAGACCCATTTACAGCCTACTGTTTTGGCTCCTTTAGGAATATTTTCTAAGTCCCAAACTTTATTGGTACTCATTGATTTCAATTCATCTTCTATGGCCTTAAGCCACTTTGATGAGTGGTCGCTTCTCATGGCTTCTTCAAATGAGGTGGGATCATCCCCCATCTGACATTCTTCTGTTTCATAAACTTCATAGTCATCAGTAATAGCTGATCTTCTTATTCTTTGAGACCTTCTAGGTGCCTCCGGCACTTGTTCCACATTGGGTTGTTGTTGTTCTTCCTCATGTGCAACATTTGGTTCTATGGGTTCCTCAAGGATAGGTTCCTCAAGGACAGGTTCCTCATGTTCATTCATTGTCGTCACGGGAGAACTTGCAACAGGTGTTGGCACTACAGTGTCCTGCACTATCGGTGCAACAACAGCAGGTAGCGTGAAGAATGGTTCTTCAACCATCGGAGTGGGTACATGTACCCGCTTCTCCTGTAGGCTGATTTCTCGTGCTACCATGCTCCCCTGATCATGTTATCCTCCAAGAACACAACGTGTCTTGTTTCTATAATCTTCGTATGTCTGTCAGGACAATAGAAGCGATATCCTTTCGATCTTTCTGGATAGCCAATAAAATGGCAGCTGACTGTCTTGGAGTCTAACTTTCCTATATTTGGGTTAAACACTTTTGCCTCAGCCGGACAGCCCCAGACACGCAAATAGTTAAGTGAGGGTTCCCTTCCTGTCCATAATTCATACGGTGTTTTAGGCACCGATTTACTTGGTACTCGATTAAGTATGTGAATGGCGGTTTTCAGTGCCTCCATCCATAAACTAATCGGTAATGTGGAGTAACTCATCATGCTTCTTACCATATCCATTAAGGTACGGTTATGTCTTTCAGCCACTCCATTCTGCTGAGGCTCCCCCGGTGTGAAGTACTGAGGAACTATGCCATTTCTTGTAGGAACCTTGCAAATGGTCTAGGAATTTGGCCTTATGGGGTATGTCGCCCATAGTACTCTCCACCTCGGTCTGATCGTACTATCTTGATTTTCTTATTGTGCTGATTTTCAACTTCAGCTTTAAATATTTTGAATTTATCCAGTGCTTCCAATTTTTTTTTAATTGGATAAATATTGCCATAACGAGAGTAGTCGTCTGTGAATGTTATAAACGAGTCATAACCATCCACACTTTTCACAGGAAAAGGACCACACATGTCTGTGTGGATTATTTCTAAAATTCCTGTGCTTTGTTTGGCATCTTTCTTAATTTTCTTGACATACTTTCCTTTGATACAATCAACACATTGTTCTAAATCTGAAAATTCTAAGTGCGGGAGAATTGATTCCTTAACCAATCATTCTATTCTCCCCCTCGAAATATGGCCCAAGCGACAATGCCATAATTTCGAAGAGACATAATCAATTCTGTTCCGCTTCTTAGTTACATTCGCAGATGGGGAATCATTCACATTCTCATCGCATACATTGTTTGCATTCTCAGCAAGAGATAATAAATAAAGCTTGTCTTGTCGGAAGGCAAGACCAACACATTTATTATCAACCAGTATCTTACACTTGCCACCACCAAAGTGGCAATCAATTCCATCATCATCAAGTTTCGAAACGCTTATCAAATTTCTACGCAAAGAGGGAACATAAAGTACTTCTTTAAGTCTAAGTACAAAACCATTATTCAATTCTAAAGAAAAAAACTCCAATGGCTTCAACATTGGCTTGCACTCCATTTGCAACTTTAATCGTTCTTCTCCTCTTTGCAAGGTTCTCGTCCCACTTAACCCCTGTAAGGAATTTGCAACATGAGTAGTTGCTCCTGAATCAACCCACCAAGTGGATTTATCATAACATAAATACAGGGGATTCATCTACAAATGTAATAAATTCATCATATTTCTTTAGCAGAGATTTCAGGAAGTCTGGACAATCCCTCTTGTAGTGTCCCTTCTTGAAGCAGTGCTTGCACTGATCTTTTTCTGCTCCACCATACTGCTGATTCTCAGAATCCTGGGGTTTCTTTCCCTGTGAACTGGAGGAAGAGGTCTTATCCCACTTAGGTTTCCCTTGTGGTTTAGAATTCTTGCCATTAAAGTTCTTTCTTTTGTTGTCCTTCACAAAATGAGCAGATTCACCTTGTGAGGACTTTATCCTCTCCTCTTCTTGAGCACACATTGAGATGAGTCTTTCTATGCCCCATCTTTCAGGCTGCATATTATAGTTCACAATGAAGGTGTCATATTCTTTTGGCAAAGAAGCAAAAATCAAATGAATCAGGAAATCCTCCTCCTTCAAATTCATTTCTTTTAGCTTGGATGCCGTAGTGTTCATCTTCAAAATGTGCTCTCTTATGCTACCACCAGTGAATTTCTCATTCACAAGCTTCTTAATCAGTGAACTTGCTGTGGCCTTGGTAGACCCAGTAAACTGACTCTTGATTTTCTCAAGATATTCTTTGGCAGTAGCACATTCAGGGATTGAGCCCCTTATCTGTTCTTCTATGGTGGCTTTGGCTACCAACAGGCACTTGCGGTTGGAGAGAGTCCATTGCCTATGTTCAAGGTCATATTTCATTCTTATTTCAGCATGATCACGCTTTCGAGCAGCGAAATCAGCGTCAGTTTCATTGTCACCTCTCACCGGGTCCTCTGGCTCAGTAGGACACGGTGAGGTGATGGCAAAATCGACCTCTCCCAACGCAAGTTCCAATTCATACTTCTCCCGCCATACACGGTGATTGGTCTCATTGAGTGTCGGGATGTTGGCAATGTTCATAATACATTTGCCTCCTGAAATCACACCAGAGTAAGTAAGAAACATTTATACATAAAATTTCATGCTTTAACTCAACGTTGGTCAAATTAAAACTTATAATTCATCCATGCAAACATTTTACATCACCGTTGGACAGAAGTAAAATTAATGCATAATTTCTCATGGATCAAAATTATAATATTATTATTAACAACGTTGGTCAGAAAATAACAACATCATAATCTCATCAAAAAAATTATCAGAAATTCATCACTTCTCTTAAAATTAAATTATCCCGTTGGTTCAAATTTAATCAAAGGAGAATGAAAATTATCATGCACAGCGGAAACATTAATAATCTTTCATATTATTATTTTCCAGAAGCACTGAGTACTTTACTGTTTTCTGGCAAAATATCGTTGGATAGTATTTGCACAGAAAAAATTGTATCAAAATCATTCAAATTCATCAAAAATATGCATTAAAATTGCTCCTGAAAAATAATAACAAAAAAAAATTCTTTTCACTTCAGCCCAGCGCGGCCCAGCTCGCCCATATGCGCAGCCTAGCCAGCAGCGCGCGCTGCAGTGGCCCATCTGTCCGCGCCCGCATAGGCCGCACCTAGGCCGCAACCTGGGCCTGGGCTGGCAAAGTGCCGCGCGCGCTCGCGCCCGCCTGGGCCGATGATGGCCCGAGCACCCGTGGCCGTTGGATTCATCGGACGGCTGCGCACCGTCTTCGGGCGAACAAAAAATGCTCCCGGTCGCGTCCTCCCAAACCCTAACTTCATTTGTTCCTTTGCTCTCTCTCTCTTCGCTCTCTCTCTCTCGTTCTTTCTTCCTTAGTGAATCCAGCAACGACCGAGAGTGACAGTGAGCGAGCGAAGCGAGAGCAACGACGGTGGAGCGGCCATGGCGCCGTCGCTGGCGCGCGTGCTCCCCAATGGGTGAGCACGCTGCCGTCGAGCGGCCTGGCTACGGCGCTTCCTTGGGCGAGCCCGGCGAGCCAGCTTCCCCGGCTTGGCTTCTTCTCCCGCGCCGGCGAAGGGACATCCCGACGCACGGCGAGGTAGATCCACCCCTTCCCCTTCGGCTTTGTATTGTTCTTCTTCCTTTTCTTTTCGAGTTCATCCAAATGGGAAAATAGGGTTAGGGTTAGGGTTACTTTGACTGATTTGAAATCGGTTCGGTTTGATTTCTTTCTTTCGCCCGATTCGAAATCGAATGTCTCTGTTCTTCTTTCTATTTTCTTTTTCCCGACCCAGTTTCTTCTCTAACCTAGCTCCGGTACCATTGTTAAATTTCTTAGGACTCAATCGAGTCAAGTTCACCAGATCGGGTACACAGAATAGGAATACATGTTCAAGATTTACAGTATATACACAAAACCTAATGCATGAACTACAGAGATATAAAAGGAAGAAAAGAGGTAGGTGGAGTAGGAAGTCGCAGACCATTGAAGGCCATAGTGGTCGAAGCAGTCATAGTGGTGGAAGCACCGGCCGCGGCCTCGTTCGCGGGTGCCATCTGCGCGCCGGCAGCGACGTTCGGTGGAGAGAGGAGTCGGTGCAGTGGCGTCCTTGGCGGCGGCGTGTGCGTCAGGGTGGCATTGCCGGCATCGGTGGTGCTTCCCATCGCTGGCAGCGCCCCTTCTCAAGATTGGGTTAGGGTTAGGATGTCGGTGGGGAGTCTGGCGGCGCAGTGAACCTCGTACTGCGAGCCCCAGCCCCCACCTTTCCTTTATAGCGCTGTGCGACGAGGGCCCACCAACCATGTAGGGTTGGGCGCCCCCGATCAGGGTGCGAGAACAAGGCCCAAAGGCCATTGGGCCTAATGGCGTGGGAGATCAATCCAACAAAAAGTAGATACTACTAGTAAAGTTGATGCGCCGGCGGACCACTAGAATGATTGGAAGTTGCAGGCTTACTGGCTTACCTAGGAGTAGAAGACGTAGAGGCAGAAGACCTTGGTGACGAAGAAGAACATGCGCAGCGGCGGGAGCAGGGTCTGCCGGCTCCACCACCAGAGCGCGCCCTCCCTCTGCTCTAGGGGCAGCACGTCGAACCGGCGCACGAAGGGGAACCGCCGTGATAGGCAGTGTGCCCCGCACAGCGCCAGTGAACCGAGCCGCGTGCCCAGCAGCCACAGCACCGTGCGCACCAGCGCCAGCACCTCGAGGGGGCACTTCCGTGACATGAGCTCGGCCACCTCATCGGGCACGGGTGGGTCGGCAGCCGAGGCGAGGAGGAACTCCTCCACGACCTTGTTGCCGTCGCCATCGCCTCCGCTGTCCTCCTCCAGGTGGTAGTGACCGTTGCGGTGGTCCGGCGGTAGGGACGGCACCAGCGCGCCGCATAGGGCGGTGAGCGCGGCCATCTGGGATGCCGAGAACCCATGGGTGTACCGCTCCCTCTTCGCGTCTCCTCCCCTCAGGAGAGGGTGTCCACGCTTGTTGTCCGCGCCCATGGCGGCCTCCTGGTGACGACTGTGTGGCGTTGTACTGGACTACTGGTCGTTCGCGTGGAGCGGCCGTGCGGGCGGAGAGTCCTCTACAATGGAACCGTGGGCTGCGGCTGAGCTTGAGGGAAGTGGACAAACACAGTGGAGGCACCGAGACTTTATAACAGTACACAGGGATGAAAATGGATCGGATACGTACATTTGTTTTCATATTTCTGTTCGAATTCGAATTCGAATACGGATAGTGTCAACTATGTCGGATAGGATACGATTGGATATCGACATTATAAATATGCGATTTGAGTATTTGGATACGGATACGGTATCGGATGTTGGATATCCGGACTCAGATACGGACAGATCTCAACCCCTCTAAACGAATTCGGTTTCGAATACGGTCTGAAAATATCCATACCGTTTTCATCCCTAACAGTACAGCATGGAGGTTCAGGTCACCTCGTGGCTCCTGCAGCTGCCGCTGCCTCTACGGCTCTACGGAGCGGAGTTGTAATTTTTAATGGACTTTATCATTCTTTGGTATAGTCTGTTGTTATCTCTGGATATGTCAGTTTGTTAGCAGCATTGATTAAACAATCGATAATGATATATAGCGGTCGTCCGGATGGGGACGGACGCACCCAAGCTGCACCGAACCCGGTCCACCCATGGCCCACGCCGTCTCCCGCACTCATTCTTATCCTTTCCTCGCTCACTCCCACAGCGCTCCTCCCATTCTACTACCGCCACGCCCGCCCGCCGGGACGGACGCCGCGCGCCAACTTGCTTGCGTCCCGCACCGCTCGCCGACGCTCCCTCCCTTCATCCCCCCTCCCACGACATCCACTGCTACCCCGCGCCCCAAGCGACCTGGCTCCCGCTCCCCCCACCGGAGACGAGGATGACGACGGCGGCTCTGACGAGATAGGTCGGTCATTCTCTGGATCTGAGCCCTCCTCCTCCTCGTTCTCCTCAAGATCCGAGGGACGCGGCGGTGGCTAGGGTTCTGGCGAGCTTTGGGTCCTATTCCCTGCTCCCTCCGGCGAACTCGAAGGTGATGGGGCCACGGGCTGGAGCAGCCTGCACCTCGAACCCATCCCTTTTGTTGTTTGTACGTTTTTGCTATTTTCTCCCGTGTTGCAATAAATGATTTTCGAATGTTGCTATGGGATTTTTGGGTCGTTGCAATAGATGTTTTTGCGATGTTGCAGTACTACTATTTTTGATGTTGCAGTACATAATTTTCGATGTTGCACTACACATTTTTACGATGTTGCAGCACATAATTTTCGGTGTTGCAGTATATAATTTTTCGATGTTGAAGTACATAATTTTTTGATGTTACATTACATGTTTTTCGATGTTGCACTACATAATTTTGCGATGTTGCAGTATTTATATTCCGATGTTGGACTACATAGTTTCTCCATATGTTTGCGATGTTGCACTTGAAGTGTTTTCGTGCTCTTGGGACAGGTGGCGCTGCGGGGAACGGGGTGCGTTCGGGAACGGGGACAGGGGCGTGGTGGGGTGTGGCAGAATTGTCTCAAATAACTCACTTCCGGAGGTGTTTGTCTTCCATTAGACACTAAACACCCTTAAGAGTGAGCAAATTGAAACAGTTCTGTCGAGCACACCCCATGGGAGAATACGAAAATCCATATTTTTCAACAAGATCATAAATGGGAAAATAAAGCTTACAACATTTTAACCATTTCTTATACCACTTTTCATGCAACATCAGAGTATAATATTTATTGTTTATAACAGCAAAATATAACCATGTTATCAGAGTTTCAGCGAAAATAAAATCATTTAATGACAAATTAAACATTAACATGATGATCAGTTGTATACATAATAACATGTTATAAGTTTTTCCATTGTAATTTTTTTTTGTGGAAACTTTAAATAAACTCTATGTCCGCACATAAAGGAAACCCTTGTTGAGCCCACCAGGAGGTTTCCACACACAAGTGTCAGCTCCACATGTTCCTGTCACCTACAACAGGGTAGAACAAACCCTGAGTACTCAATTGTATTCCGCAAGACTTACCCGTCAGGAGAAAAAAAAGACTCCAAGGATATGCAAGGCTATCTAGCTTGCGGGTTATTGCATCTATAGAAAGCATTACTAAACGTGCGTCCTTATATTCAAACTTTTATTAGCAGTCAATATTGGTTCATTACCTAACCATTCTATGTAAGCACCTAAGATACTTTCAAATAGGTGGTAAGCAATCAGGACCATTTTATCACCTCTCATGTTTCAGTTCTTACTATGGTACTAGACCATAGCCAAGTCGTACCGTATCACACGGCGATTCGTGAATTAATGTATCCCAGCTGGGTACCCCGAAACACACGCCCCGGTTGTACCCCTGGCACAAGCAAAGACCAACCCACCACCCTCCTATCATGGGGTCCAGGTCCCCGTCCAAACTTGGACTCCAAGCCCCTGTACCTGAGTCCTAGACTCAGTGCGGTGCTTGGACCTTCACCCAGAACCACCTCTAAAAGTCTATCCGGAAAGAGCCAGAACCCATGACAAGAAAGTGACAAGTCTTCCCGCTCCCATAAGCAAGTATGTGCTCATGATAATAAATCTGTGACCTGACTACCATCCATAGCAACGGACGGTCCTCAATCGACACAGGCGGGACAAATGCATCCAGAGCCTCGCTCAGTTGCCTAACTAGTCCATGTCCATCCAAGTACAGTACCGTCCGGTCTCCAATTATTATCCATATATATTTCATGTGATAATAACATGATAATAGGAACAATAATATCTTTTTCTATCTCTCACGAGTGACAGATGATTACTCGACTTCTACCGGAATCCTATAGCATAGCAATCTATGCGATCCTGTCATACTAGTAAGACTCATAGGACAAGGATATATATGCAAGTGGATTTCATTCAACTCCTTAAACTTAGTGCACGTGCATAAAATAAAATGCAAAATAATAGGGGTTATGCACTGGGGCTTGCCTGGATAAAAAACATTATAAAGAGTTAGTCCCATCTTCATGATCCACTCGCCAAGACACCGTCTTCGGCTCCAATGTCACATCCACATGCTCATCATCTAGCGCACCTAAATGAGATGCAACGATGCAAATGCATGAATGCAAAGAAAACACACATAAAGCATCACATAAAGGCACTCAAGATAAACATCAGGTTTATAAATCAATTATTAAGTTTTTATTGCAATAACGCATGTGAAAGCAAGATAAATCTATATATCAATATTTTATGTGAACACATGACCATGTTAAGTGTTCGTTTGACAAAATGACATCATACAAATGCGGTGGAACTATATTTTCTATTTTTACATACTTTTATTATTTATAAACCATTTAACAAGCGTCAAACAAGTTAAATCATTAACTCAGTCATAGCACCTATTTACAGGCTACAAACATTACAGGAGATGTCTAACACATGTAAGAATCTACTGTAAGAATATCAGATTAACCGCATTTACCAATTAGCCATTAAAAATAGTACAACAATTATAGGAGCATATTTATTTATTTATTGCAGACCTAAAAATAGTGAGCATCAAATGAATTAATCTACTCTAACACACAGTACAGGTTACCAGGAGTCTAACAAAACAAGAATCATGATTTTAGGACTTCATTTCAAATTTAAACAGATTTTACAATGTTGAACCGATTTGATCCATCTTTAAATAAGATAAGAAGCTAATAGACACAAATGCCCTGGAACCCAAACTTTTTTTAAAAAAAAAATCTATAGTCAGCCCTTTTACTATTCATGTCTCTCATACAAATTCACATATAACCCCATGTACTTTTCTCCTTTTGCACCAAAGCTCCCTCCCTCTAAACCTCACGTACGAACAGAGCAACACACGAACACCGGTGATGGGTTCGGGCTGGCCGGCTTCGACCAGCAACTGCGGTCACCGATGGCCGGGATGGAGCGACACGACTTCAAAGCAGCGGGCTGCGGCCACCGGTGCACGCGCCGTGGCCTGGGATGGCCAGCGGACATGTTGAAGTGGCTGCGAGTTTGCTCAGCTCGGCCATGGCGGCGGCGGGGAAAACTGAAAGTGGCTAGCGACGAGGCACGGCTGATGCTCGATGTGGGTTTGCAGGCTAGCTAACTTCTATGTAAGGCTGCTTGCGCGAGGAATTGGATGGAGGTGCACTGGTTGGGGCGAATTTAAAAAGGGCGCCGAAGGCAGACGCGCGGACCATTCATGGCCATGCGGGTCAGGGGCTCGGAGAGACGCGCGCGGCTAGCTTTCAAGGCACGCTGATGGCGTCCACTTGCGCGTGCTTTAAAGGCAGACGACCTTGGGACGAAGCGAGTCGGGCGAGGCAGAGCGACGACCGGTGTCGGGTCGTTGATGGCGGACAAAATGCCGCAGGGTATTTGATGACTTTGCGGGCGATGGCGCAGAGAGCCAGAGAAGCGTGCGGCATTGCGCCGGGTGGAAACGACAACGAAGGGGGCCGACCTGCACTTGGCTCAGGCTTGCCTCGGCGAGACGCTCTTAATGGCCGTGATGGTTGGGAAGTGCGGCTACCAAGGCAGAGTCAGGCGCACGTGTAGGTGTCGCGGCAGCGACCACGACCATGTGCAGACACAGCGGGCGCGCCATGTGCTCGCGGCAGCGGCAGCGGCAGCGATGAGGCGGAGCAGCGCAGCTATCAGCACGTGTGCACGGCGACGAGGGCTCCCGGCAGCAGGGCAGCGGGCGCGTGCGGCAGCGAGGCATGGCAACAGCATGGACACAGCAGCGCAGCGCAGACGGCCGCGCGCACTCGCGGACAAAGCGCGGCTTGGGAGTCCGACAGAGGGGTAGCTGTGGCCGATTGGGCCAGGCGCGCAGCCGGCAGCCGCAGAGGCCGGCCAGCGGGGTAGCGGCCACAGCCATGGAGCGAGCCAAGCGCCAGCAGCGCACGCGCGCGCGGTGACCGCGGACTCAGGCCGAGCGATCGCAATCGGTGTTGTGCACGCATTT